AGGCTCTGAGCTGTCAGCACAGAGCCCGATGCGGGGCTCGAACTCATGAATTGTGAGATCATGACCTGAGCCAAAGTCAGATGCTCAACTGACTGAGCCACCCAGGTGCCCCAGGACTGATGTTCTTGTAAGAAGACATGCCAGAGGTCGCTCCATCTGTGAGCATGCCCAGAAGAAAGGCCATATGAGGACACAGTATGCTAGAAAGAGAAGCTTCGCCAGAAACCAACTCAGACGGCACCTTGCTTTTAGACTTCCAGCCTCCAGAACTGTGAGAAAATAAATATCTGTTGCTTAAGCCACATAGTCTGTGGTGTCTTGTTATGGCAGCCTGGGCTAAGACAAACTGCCTCTTTTATTGCTAGGGAATAGTCCTCTTTCACAGGGCAAACTCAGTGTTTTCAAGTTCAGTTTGTCTCATATTATAACCATGTCAGACTACTGTGTTCATGGTATATCCTTCTCTGTCCTTTAAATTTCAACCTAATGTGCCTTTATATTTACAGTGCATTTCTTCCATATAGTATACAGTTGAGTTTTGCTTTTTATCCATTCTGACAATCTCTGCATTTTAATTGGAGTGTTTAATCCATTTACGTTTGTTTTAATTGTTGACAAAACTGGGTTAAATGTACCATCTTGCTACTTCTTTTCCATTTGTCCCTTCTGTTTTTTGGTCCTCTCTTGTTCCTTTCTTTTTTTTCTCCCCCTGACTTATTTGATCAACAAATCAAGTATTTCTTAGTTTTCCATTTTACTTCCCCAATTGGCATAACTTATTCTTATAATTTTTTAATGCCTGCTCTAGAGCTAATAATATGCATTCATAACATATTGAAACCTAGTTAGAGTCAGTATTTTACCACTTCATACCTTCTTCTTCACACTTCCCATTTCTCTCGATACCTGACACTTCACAAATATAACAGCCTTATAACAGAATAATTTCATTTACAACCACCCATCCTTTGAACTGTATTTGTCTCATCTTTCACTTCTATAGGTATAAACTCTATCTTGCATAAAGAAGAAATCACCAAAAAATATAGACTTTTGTATTTACCCACTTATTTATAATTTCTGGTGCTCTTTATCTCCCCCCTGACCTGCATATTCCAGCTACTTCATCTTCCATGAACTCTGATCTCTGTTCCTCAGCACAATAGGACCACCATGCCTTGTTTGGACTCTGGCTCACAAATCCACAGTCAGAAAGTTATTCCCAGTCAGGAACCAGGGTAAACAGGGGCTCACCTTATGAGTTTCCTTTCTCAGGGACTGTAAATATATACTGCCTGTTATTCAGTGCCTTAGACACACCCAGCATGGAGTTTCAAGGTCAGAACAGAATAAGGAAAACATCAACCTGGGAGAGCAGCCTGGTATATGAAATTGGAACCCACGCAGAGTAATGAGGGCGTCTGTGTAGGAAGATGGTCTGTTGTATGGAAGGAGACCAAGAGGGGTGAAGAGAACATCTAAGCAATTTTCCTGACCCTGGGCAGTGCAATAGGGTTTTCTAGTTATTTTGGCAGTATAACAAGTACTCCCAAACTTACTGACTTAAAACAGCAACAATCATGTATTATCTCTCCAGGTTTATATAGGTCAGGAATTTTTAATCACAGCAGGAATAGCTTATCTCTTCTCCACAACATCTGAGATAAAGCTCTTAAAAACATCTTGAAGGGGCGCCTGGGTGGCGCAGTCAGTTAAGCGTCCGACTTCAGCCAGGTCACGATCTCGCGGTCCGTGAGTTCGAGCCCCACGTCCGGCTCTGGGCTGATGGCTCGGAGCCTGGAGCCTGTTTCCAATTCTGTGTCTCCCTCTCTCTCTGCCCCTCCCCCGTTCATGCTCTGTCTCTCTCTGTCCCAAAAATAAATAAACGTTGAAAAAAAAAAATTAAAAAAAAAAAAAAAAAAACATCTTGAAAAACATGAAGGCTTGGACCTGAATTCATTTGAATGGTCATTCACTCAAATCTCTGACAGTTGATGCTGGCTTTCAGCTGGGGGCTTCAGTTCATTTCCACATGGGTTTTTCCATGTGGTCTGAACTTCATCACAACACGGTGGCTGCAATCCAAGGTCAAGTATCCAGAGAGAGAGAAAAAGAGGCAGGCAGAAGCTGTGTTACTTTCTAACCTAGAAAATCATGCAGCATCACATTCACTGCATGCTAATGACTGAGGCAAATGATCCATTCAGATTCAAGAGGAAAGAACATATACCCGATCTCTCAATGGAGGAGTATCAATATCTTGTAAGAAGAGCATCATGTGAGATGGGATATATACTGGCATTTCTTTTGAAAATACAGTGCCACAGTGGGTGTTTTCAGGCGGGGGAGCAGGTTGTTTCTGGGTGTTGGAGCACAAGTAAGATGAAGAGGATGTCCATGTGGGGAGTAGCCAGCTTGTAATGTTGGAACCAGAATGGAGAGAAGAAAGCTACTATGTTGGGAGCAGGCAGCCTCACACAGGGTGACAGTCCAAGCAGGATGAAGAAGGTGTCTGTATAGAAGTCAAGACTACACTGGGTGTCTGACTCTGAGCAGGGTGAAAAGAGCACCAAATGGGTAAAAGGATGCAGGGGGTAGTGACCCAGTATAGGTTGTTGAAACATCTGTGAAGTAAGAAGGGTATGTGCAGAGGTTAGGAGGCAGTAGAATTAATAGGAAACTGGTTACATTCAGGGGGATTTATCAAGTAAATTACCTACTCTGACATACATGTGATACCTGCAATGAAATGTTTGTGTAATATAAGGAAAACATCAACATTATTTATATCCTAACTAGAAACCTTGAAAAAGCATGATCATAAAAATAAATGTCAATGATAAATGTATTCTTCAAAAAATTAAAATGGTTTTAATTCAACTCCTAGGTATATACCTAAGAATATTCAAAAACATATGTCTACAGAAAAACGTTCACACAAATATTCATAGTAGCATTATTCAAAATAGCCAAAAAAACAAAATAACCTAAATGTCCATCAACTGATGAACAGATGAACAAAATTTTGGAATTTTTTGGAATTATATTCATCAACAAAAAAGAAGTACTGACACATGCTAAAACATGGATAAATCTTGAAAATATATGAAGTGAAATAAGCCAGACACAAAAGGTCACATATTGTATGATTCATTTATATGAAATGTCAGAATAGGCAAATCCATACAGACAGAAAGCAGATTGGTGGTCCACAGCGGGTTGGGGGACTGGAGGCTTGGAAAGGGACAGCTAATGCATATGGGACTTCTTTTGGGGGTGATAAAAATGTCCCGAAATTAGACATAGTGATGGTTGCACAACTTTGTGAATATACTAAAACCACTTAACTGTTCACTTTAAAAAAGTGAATTCTGGGGCGCCTGGGTGGCCCAGTTGGTTGAGCGTCTGACTTCAGGTCAGGTCATGAGCTCACAGTTTGTGAGTTCGAGCCCCGCGTCGGGCTCTGTGCTCACAGCTCAGAGCCTGGAGCCTGCTTCCAATTCTGTGTCTCCCTCTCTCTCTCTGCACCATCCCCACTCATGCTGTCTCTCTCTGCCTTAAAAATAAATAAAATATTGAAAAACAAAAAGTGAATTCTATGTTATGTGAATATCACTGTTAAAAATAATAATAATAAATCCAGTGAAAGTTTAACCTAGTATTAAATAAATGAGAAATCTATTAAAACATATAATAACATGTTAGAAGTTTTAAAAACATGACAAAGAATATAAATTTTTGCCAGAAGCCAACATTATCCTACAACTCAGTTCCCTTAAAAAACAGGGACTGTACCTTTACACACCAGCAATAAATAGATTAAAAATGTAATTTTTAGGGGCGCCTGGGTGGCTCAGTCGTTTAAGCATCCAACTTTGGGTGAAGTCATGATCTCACAGTTTGTGGGTTCGAGCCCCGCATCAGGCCCTGTGCTGACAGCTCAGAGCCTGGAGCCTGCTTCAGATTCTGTGTCTCCCTCTCTCTTCTCTCCCCTGCTTGTGCTGTCTCTAAGATAAATAAATGTTAAAAAAATTTTTTTAATGTAATTTTTATATTATACCATACAAGGTACCTAGAAATAAATATTCAACAAGTGGAACTTTATGGATACAATTATAATAATTTGTTAAAATATATTTTAAAAATTAATACTAAATGAAAAGATTTATGGGGTGCCTGACTGGCTCAGTCGTTAGAGTATAAGACTCTTGATTTGGGGGTTGTGAGTTCAAGCCCTGTGTTGGGTGTAGAGATTACTTAAATAAATAAGCTTTAAAAAATGCAAAGATTTATATATCAAATTCATGAATAGAAGAACTCAATATCATTAAGATAGCAATCCTCCCCAAGTTGACCCATGCAATTTAACAAACAGATTCTAACATATATGTAAAGGATTGGCCAAGAGAATTATGAACAATGCCGTAAGAATTCCCTACCAGATATTATGGATTAGAAATAAATAAGTCAATCTCATCTCAACACCCATTAAATAATGACTGAATAACATTTTGGGTAGATATCTTTAGTCCTTTTTTCTAATATATGTATAAACAAAAATATATGTAAACTCAAATTAGAACCACACTATACATACTATTTTTAATCTGCTTTTTTCATTTAACAATATATCATAATCATTTTCCCAGTCTATAATAGCTTAATAATCAACTTCTAAGAACAACTTAAACAACAAGGTAACATTAGTGGTGGAGAGACACATTAGTGTACTGCACACAGCAAAAGGAGTAGATCCAGGGCCCAGATCCATATTAATATGCAACTGTTTAAGTCAAATACTAAGTACCTAAAAGGATTAACTACTATATCCATAAAAGCAAAGCAAATACTGAAAGAGGGTAAAAACTGATGAGAAATATTAAAATGTAAAGAAACCATGAAGGAGAGTAAAGGAATGAAATATACTGACAAAACTGATAAATCCTAACTCCCAGAATAGTCTGCCAAGAACTCCATCAGACCAATAACCAACAACTCACACCATATCCCCAGGAGAAGTCCGAGCTGCCTTCAGTGGAGATCCCTGTGCCTGTATAACTTGGAAAAGCAGATCTTGAATTCCCAGTGTCAGCTGATGTAAAAGGTGATTCTTGTGTGATGTCAGACTCACTAAATGCCCAATTTGGAAGGAAGAGAGAAAAAAGAGAAATTCTTATATTTCCTCAAGTTTCTGTAGCATTAACTATTCAGCAATTTACTAGATGACAAGCATATACACAAATATATCTATCCACAGGAGAAAAATAAAGGAAGAACTACCAATTAAGCATCATGTTAAAATCCTACCTAATTCCTGCAGAATTGATGACAGTGATTCTAAATAATTCTAGTCGTAGTTTACAATAAATATTTTTTAATATAATTTATTGTCAAATTGGCTTATATACAACACCCAGTGCTCATCCCAACAGGTGCCCTCCTCTTTCCCCTCTTTCCCCACTCTCCCCCACCCCCATCAACCCTCAGTTTGTTCTCTATATTTAAGAGTCTCTTATAGTTTGCCTCCCTCCCTCTCTGTTCGTAACTATTTTTCTCCCCTCCCTTCCCCCATGGTCTTCTGTTAAGTTTCTC